AATACAACAGTAATGGTAACAGCAATAAACACGGACACAAATATTTGTGGTCCAACATTGGCCTAAGCTAAATATCCGGGGTGAAAGCAGCAATGGTAATAGACATAAACTCCGAGAGAATAATATTCACTGTGTAGCAACTGTTACAGTGGTCAGGCTTCCGGAATTGGCCTAGGCTTGATATCTGGGGTGAAAAATAATCTGTACACAATCACAGGTCTTGGTGTAATAAGAGATGTAAGAGACATGCGCATGCCCATCTATATAGTCTATATACCTTCCTGAAACTAATACACTATGCTGAATTAGTCTATGGGGGTTAGGAATGAGTTGTATTCTTTACCACAAAGACACCAAATAAGGAAACGTTCAAACCACAGCTTACATTAGGTAGTAATTAATTCCTGATAACACATTATTGTTTAAACACATTATTACCTTTGAGGGCAAACATATCGGGGTTCATATTTTTCATACGATGCCCTAGGCCAAAAACAAGTTTCGGTAATAAACAAAATATTATATTCGTGTCCATATCAACTTCTGCCTAAATGACGATAATACTAACATTTCGGCTCTTGAGTCGTAAACCTGGATTGAACTGGACACTCGTATAAAATCCTCTTTGTAAACGTCTCTCACAAGGTGGTATCATGTTTTTGTTTGTTTGTTTGCTGTTTAACATCGCACTCAGCAATATAAGTGTATGTGGGCAGGCTATAAATAACCGGGTCTGGACAAGGCAATCCAGTGATTAACAGCATGAGCACCGATACACGTTACTCGGGATACGATAATATGTGTCAACCAAGTCAGCGAGCCTCGCCACCCGATCCAGTTAGTCGTCTCTTATGACAAGCATGGGTTGCTGAATATCAGTTCTTACCCGGATTTTCAGGGGTCATTATGAACCTTAACTCAGTCTTAACAGAAACAATGTAATCTAATTACAACATAATGTAACAATACGGTACAAAACCATTGAACATTATTCATAAGAAATCGATTGTTCCATTTGAGATCAATGAACATGTAAATCATGTAAGCATACAGCCCACTGTCGAGGGAAAGGCGATACAAAATTGTCAAATATTGTTTGTAAACCTGGAATGCTTTACAGGTATGAGTAAAAATATACTTCTATTGCACAGCTTGTGTTTAGTACAGGATACATCACAATATAGTAAGTTACCATTGCAAAGTGTTGCATCATTGTTTCTTTCAAAGGGGCGTTCCTGATTCCCTACGTCATCTCAACAGCTGTGTTGGCAATCCCGCTCTTCATCCTGGAGGCTGCTCTTGGTCAGTTTTCTGCTAAAGGACCTATTAAGATTTGGTCAATATGTCCACTCATGAAAGGTAATAGCAAGTATATGTGTCAGCAAAGAATTTACTTTATATTAGCGTTTGTGATTCGCGAGGACACAATCTATTTATAATGCCAAACATTTCAAATATGCTGAAAGATCAACATAGATTTTAAAATGAATACCTCGTTTTCATCGCTATATGGCTGTAATATGTACACTTTTAACTGACTCACGCTAAAAGATACCAATTGTTTGATCATGGTCGTTTTCTTGGTGAATTCAATATGCAAGATCAACGTTTAACGACATCCAATAACCAAACAATGAACAACATGCAACGATTAACAAATATATAGACATAAAACACACGGTTGTTTGTGTACTGACATGTATAGTTTTAACAACAGGGCCCATGTATGTTTTAACATGTGTTGATGGTTGCACTCGCTTTCACGTCACATGTAAAATGAAATAGAATGTGTCTGTCTATGAGTGATTTATGTTTATGTTTAGGTCTTGGATTTTGCATACTGGCAGTTAGCTGTATCATTGTCCTCTACAACAGTGTGGTGTTTTCCTGGGGCGTCTACTACATCTACAGCTCCTTCTCGAACGTCCTGCCCTGGACCACCTGTGGCAACCCCTGGAACACGCCACAGTGTGTCGTGGTAGGCGACACTGGCGTTAATAGTTCAGTATACATGAAACCGACTAATGCCAATGACACAACTATAACAGCAAGCATTGGATATGCAACTTTTAACAGAAGTGCACAAACTTCAAGTGTGTTTGGACATACATCAACAGAGGAGTTCTGGCAGTGAGTCATGTTATATGCAGTGCATTAATAACATAGGACAGTCATCAGCAAATCTATTTTACCCTTTGTTTGACCCTGTGCACAAGCCATTACAGTAACGCACTATTTTGTTTTGATTGTTGTAAGATCTACATGTATCGTAACGCGCGTACGCACACACACGCGTATATATTGGCCATTCCCTACGTGATGTTGAGTGCGCGACACTCGTGTCATACATACTGTCATGTGTCATAACGTCACCAAATTATAAGGGGTTTATAAGATGACGTCTTCAAGGTGTTGTTATATCTACCTGAATTTTTTTAGTGCTGAATGATTGTTTATGCTTAATCTCTGACTAAACCTACGACAATCGCCAGTCCTCATGGTTCCTAGTATGGTGTCCTTACCTATGCTGCTGGCGTCCTCTAGCCCCAGTGTTATGTATCGGTGCCAAATACTCAGTTTTGATGTTCTATGAGTAGTTTCAAGAAAAATATGTGATATATTGTTGGTTATTTTTCTCTCCATCGATGACAGTTTTTAAAAATTACATACATGTATATCTGTACAACTATATAACTTGGTCAATTGTCAATATGGCTGTAAATACTGCCGACATGAGTTAAAGTAACCTCACTCGCTCACTCACAACGTCCCCAGGAACAAGGCTCTCGGTGTTTCGTCAGGGATAGATGACCTCGGCTCTATACAGCCTCATCTCGTCATCTGCTGGTTCTTCGCATGTGTTGCTGTTTTCCTATGCGTCATGAACGGGATCAAATCCCTTGGAAAGGTGACAATTATTAGTTAATATTAAATACAGTAAGTAAGTAAAATATGTTCCGTTTCCATCAGAGGGGTAATTTTAACGCGCAATGTTGATTTGACTGAGTATTGAACTTTTAATGTCTTCAGACAATAGAGGAACAACAATTGTCAGCCAAGAAAAACATTTTACAGCTACTGGCAGAGAAACAGAGCGCATGTATGTGACTTATATTGTGCAACCTCTGATGGCTGTAAATGTAAGTAATTTGGACTGCCAAAGCAGGGATTTACGGTAACCTCATTTGCAGTCAAACCTAAAATTGCTAATCAGAAGTTATGTATATAATACACACCTAATTATGAATCAGAAAAAAACCTACTGAAACCTTAAGGTACACCTATGTTTCTAAACAATTTTGTTAACTCTGCTTGTTCTCCTGGTCTTATTATCGTGCATCTATGTACAGGTGGTGTATGTGACAGCGTTGATGCCGTATGTCCTATTGCTAGTGTTGCTGGTGAGGTCGTGCATGATGCCGGGTGCTGTGGATGGTGTTCTGTTTTACCTAACTCCGGACTTCACGCGTCTGCAGCATCCTCAGGTCCATAGGCGTCATATCTTTTTGACAGTTGCTAGTCAGTGAAGAATCCTGCCTTTTGAATGGTATCACGTAAAAGGGAAAAGAAACCAAAACTTACAGTCGTCCCGGCTGGCGCCATTTTAATTAGCCCACGTTGTCACCGGATTGATTAATCACTGTTATCCTGCACAGAGCATTTGTTACAAATGTTTTGTATGAAGGTTTACTATAGCAGACGGAATATACGTAACTGACAAAAACAACATACTATACGTAATATGATTAGCCGGTAAAACGCTGATTTATCGTTCATCTAATGAAATTTACTTTTTTAAAGAGCTGTGGATATCAAAAAAATACTTTTATCTTACATGTAGCTGACAAGTGAGACATGACACCGACATGTAGGGGCGGTGGGGTAGCCTAGTGGTTAAAGCGTTCGCTTGTCACGCTGACGACCCGGGTTCGATTCCACACATGGGTACAAATGTGTGAAGCTCTTTCCCGCCGTAATATTGCTTGAATATTGCTAAAAGCGGCGTAAATTAAACTCACTCACCGATGTGCAACAGCTGAAATTACGCGGTCAGTTGAGAGACGAATGGGTTACAACCCGCAAAACTGAGATTTGTTACCTATCACAATTGTTGCAAAGACACGTGCTATCAAACAAGTTTCTTTGTACAACTTTAGATGTATCGGATATTGTTCCTGTTTGTGGATACTCACAGATATACTCCTCGACTATGGTAACTGCCTGACATGATTCATATACATGTAAATTCTTTTGGTAGTTACAATGTTGACATTTTGTTTTCGTTCAGCGGCTGCAATGAGGCCTCACTGGTTACTGTGCTATAAGTAAAATGTATCCGACAATTGCAAGCAATTATTCTAAAAGTGCTCGTTTTGATATCTGGATATCTAGTAAAACCTAGTGATTGTTTCACACGGTCATGGCATTTACATTCTTTGAATTTAAAGTATTGAAGGTTTATTCAAACGAAGCACAGGTAGATACCCACAATCTCACACCCATTTCGGAAGTGACGTCATTTGTTCTAAGCAACTTACTTTGATTTTATGTGGACGTGTGCCCTAGTTGACTAATGTTAGTTCTTTTGAACATATACAAAATGTGTATCTCTGCAGGTGTGGTTAGAAGCCCTGGTGCAAGTGTTCTTTTCTGTTGGTCCTGCGTGGGGCACCATTATTGTCATGGCAAGCCACAATTCCTTTCACTCGAATCTCATAAGGTATGTTTTTCAGTTTTGTTTATTGTCTTCCATTCAACTTGCAACCCAGCTAAAGGGAATAGTTATATGGATATACAACATATTTATTCCAGTAAATGCGATGTTGTTTCGGTCAAGATGCTAACACCGTTATCACTTGCTTGAATTTGAACATCCATAGAACTATATATATTCCTTTGTTTGCTCATGTGAATGTGGGCGACATTCTCTTACAGAGACTCCATCATCGTGAGCGTTATAGGCGAGTTGACAAGTGTATTTGCTGGTTTCGTTGTCTTTGCAACATTCGGGTTCCTGGCTCATAGTTTACAACAACCTGTGGCTGACGTTGTAAGCTCGGGTAAGTCGGTTACTGTTGAAGTAATAAATAGTTTTCATTCAGTAATTTAGCAGTGTTGAATTGTCTCAATGCAGTACTTACAGTAATGAAATATATCGGTGTGATAATTACAGCAATGACATGTCTCAATGCAGTACTTACAGTAATGAGATGTCTCAGTATGGTAATTACAGTAAAGAGTTGTCTCAATGTAGTACATACAGTAATGAATACTATTAGTCTAAACTCATTATCAACAGAATTCAATTATCTTAATTCAGTAGGCAAAGGTAAGTCCCCATGGCCCCTAGTATGCTATGGTGATCAACCTTCAGTTGTTGGCGATCTATAGCCCGTTTTTTATATTGTATTGTCTTTCATAGTTAAGATATTTTAGAGTTTCATACTATATATTTTACAATTATATCTGTGATATTCTTGTTATTTTTACTGTCCTTCGCCGACAGATTTTTATAATTTACCATAATTTATTATGAGGTTATAACTTGTTTATGATCACGATATTCCTGAAATGGTGTATTCCCAGAGTGGACCCTCTGTTTATTACGTTACAACCAAATTCAGGGGCCACTAGCGGGCAACTCGTTAAGAACGTGTAAACGTGGGGGCCAGTGTGGGACAACTTGTTAGTTGTCAAAACAAAGAGTTAATCTGCTACTGTGAGTAGAAGACAGTAGTAATAATCTGCTACTGTGAGTAGAAGACAGTAGTAATAATCTGCTACTGTGAGTAGAAGACAGTAGTAGTAATCTGCTACTGTGAGTAGAAGGTGGCTGCTGATGCTGTTAAGAAGCTGTGAACGTGTGATATGTGACTTGTGATATGACTTGTGTATTGACTTGTTGCTCCCCTCTCAAAGTGAGGATGTACTGATATGTAAATATAAGCCATGAATAATGTAAATGTACCGTGAAACACTTTTTGCTTTGTTGTTTCTTTTTCATCAGAGATCTTTCAAAGCATCACACCTCCCTAATTAGTCCAACACAGTTGGTAATTAAGCTGATTGTGTTAAGAGGGGCCAGTGTGGGAACACTTAAGTTTTCGGGGGCCACTCTGGGAAGGGTCGTTAAGAAGGCCTGAAAACTCAGGGGCCACTGTGGGAAGAGCCACTCCGGGAATAAGTCGCCTGAAATATTGCCGATATGACGTAAAATCTTAAATCACTCACTCACTTAATGCAGTAGTGAATCATCTGAATGCAGTAGTTGAAGTAAAGTCACCTCTTAATGCAGTAAATACAAAACCACATTGCCGCCGTTGCATGACAGGAAGCAATTTATTCAAAATCTGTGAGTGGCGAAATAAGACATGAAATATCCAGGGCATCACTGATATGCGATGTCCTCTGAAAAAGTTTCACATTTTTTCGCATTTTATACCCAATGGAATTATCAGTTTCTAAGGATAATCGAGACACATTAATCAGAATCAAATATGTTGGGACTATACATCTACCTTGAAGCTGTATGTCACGGTATTTTATACGATGTCGAATTGGTGTGAGTTTTGTGTTGCAATGTCATGAAAATATTTCAATCATGTAGATCCTGCAATGCCATTAAAATATTTCAATCATGTAGATCCTGCAATGTCATTAAAATATTTCAGTCATGTAGATCCTGCAATGTCATGAAAATATTTCAATCATGTAGATCCTGCAATGTCATGAAAATATCTCACTCAGGTAGATCCTGCAATGTCATGACAATATTTCAATCATGTCGATCCTGCAATGCCATGAAAATATTTCAATCATGTCGATCCTGCAATGTCATGAAAATATTTCAATCATGTAGATCCTGCAATGTCAAGAAAATATTTCAATCATGTAGATCCTGCAATGCCATGAAAATATCTCATTCATGACGATCCTGCAATGTCATGACAATATTTCAATCATGTAGATCCTGCAATGCCATGAAAATATTTCAATCATGTCGATCCTGCAATGCCATGAAACTATTTAAATCATGTAGATCCTGCAAAGTCATGAAAATATCTCTGTCATGTAGATCCTGCAATGTCATGAAAATATTTCAATCATGTAGATCCTGCAATGTCATGAAAATATTTTAATCATGTGGGACTGTATATCTACCTTGAAGCTGTTTGTCACAGTATTTTATACGATGTCGAATTGGTGTGAGTTTTGACTTGCAATGCCATGAAAATATTTTAATCATGTAGATCCTGCAATGTCATGAGAATATTTTAATCATATAGGTCCTGGCATTGGATTTATTGTGTACCCAGGGGCAGTTTCATTACTTCCGTTTCCTCAACTATGGTCCGTACTATTCTTTACAACACTGCTGATGATGGTGGTTGACTCAACGGTAAATATAGTAAAATGTGCCTTTTCTTAATCATAACAAATAGCGGCATACGGTTAGGAATCACCATCAGATAATGATCACACCTAATAATGAAGTATGTTATGTAGTGAAATACCATATGTGATTATGCAGTTTACTCGCAAATATTTAATTCAACACATAACATACGGATCACAAAACACAAGGCATACATCACGTGTCTTATACATTTATGTAAGGTGACAAAGTCGGTTGTCTTTCATTCCTTCAATCTATCTATCCCATTTCCAGTCGAAGTATTTTCATCATCTGTGTTTTTAATCTTAAAATATATGTTCTTTGCAATTTTTTCACAAAATCGCCAAAATCTGAAGGAATGATGTAAATCCAGCAAGGATTCAGCAGTTAGCAAAAGTACTGTAAGTCCCCATGGTACCTAATATGATGATCTACCTTCAGATGATGGCGATCTGCAGCCCGTTCTAAATTCTGTCTCTGATATGCTATATGCTATTCACTGTCCTTCATTGACTCGTTTTTGATAATTTAAATGTATTTATTATGAATTTAGGATTTCTTTTAGTTATGGTAGGGCTAAAATACTGCCGATGTGTCTGTAAAATTTAACTCACTCACTCACACAAAGTATCTATCCAATTTTCCTTGAAGTGTTTTGTCGTGCATAGTTTGCCCATGTTGAGACAGCTGTTGGTTGTATGGAAGATCTGCTTCCGAGGCGGTTCCACGTCAAGCATCTGCAGACTATCATGGCTGCTGTGTTCATGGGAGCCGTAAGCCTTGTCGGTCTTGTGTTCACAACTCATGTACGTACTATGCTTGTACTTACACTTAGCATAAAATTTATGTCGCTTGCATTGACATACACATTATACTTACCTCGACAGACAGAAACTGCTGTTACCCCTTTGATAACGACGTCTTTTCTTCATGAACACGATGCAGTCTTGTAGAAGCCAAATCACATTAGTCACGCCGAAGACCCGGGTTCGATTCCCCACATGGGTACAATGTGTGAAGCCCATTTCTGGTGTCCCCCCGCCGTGATATTGCTGGAAATTGCTAACAGTGGCGTAAAACGATACACACTCACTGACCAGTTCACACTGAGCTTGTCATGTTGTTGACCTTTTATATAAGGCTTCCATCCCAAAATGCATGTTGATTAATAGGTACACAATCATGTCTGTTGATGGGAATATGCATTAAAATATTATATATTATGATACAAAAGATTCGTAGAGACATAAGAACACATTTGATTTACACCGTGCAGAAAGCAGAAGTACTGTGAGATCCACGGTCCCTAGTATGGTGACCTTACTTCCGTTGCTAGCCATCTCTTGACACTTTTTATCTCGAATCGTTAATTGTTGGTATATGATTTTAATTTTCTTTGATCTAGTTTTAACAAATTGGTGATAATCTAGTAATTTCACTGTCCTTCGTTGGCAGGATTTTATAAATGATATGTAGTTATCATGAATTTCGATCTAGTTTTAGTCACGATATTGCTGAAATATTTCCGATGTGACTTAAAATCTTAGCTAACTCACTTACACATTTGCATCCAGACAATAATATAGCATATTACCACGAACACATATAATGGTTAATGTTCCGTATAAAAATCATATGTACGTTATATTCCTTTCCGACATGTAATATATACTGAGTCAAAAAAGAAACTTCACATTCTTTCTTCAGGGCACTATAAAAGAACAAGAGGTGGTAAGATAGTTAAATTGTTATTATTTCATTGCTGAAACCTGTGTGATGTACTCGATACACTGACAGTGCCATAATAAGTTCCATTAGGCTACACCGCCGTTCCAAAACATGGGTATACAGAATGTCAAGTCACAAGAATAAAAATGGGAAATTTCTCAGTTCAATATCGTGTATGGCCGCCGCGCGCATTCACCACTGCCAAACACCGTCTCCTCATCGACTGCCTGATGCTTGTGAATACGTGGTTGGGGATTCTGCGCCATTGCTCTTGCAAGGCAGCGCCAAGTTCCTGCAAATTCTGAGGTTGGTTCCTAAGACCACGAAGCCTTCTCCCAAGTGCATCCCAAACGTGCTCCCAAGTGCATCCCAAACCTCGATGGCCAGTCCATGACGTTGATTCCAGCGTTTTGAAGGAAATTTCGTGTCAACATCGCGGTATGCGGCCGAGCATTATCATGCTGGAACTGTAGACCTGGGCCATGAGCCGCCATGAAAGGAACGAGTTCAGGGGGTGAGCACCTGGTCGCGGTAAGTAGCAGCTGTGAGGTTTCCACGGATGACCAGAAGTCGGGAACGGTTGTTCCCACAGAAAGCACCCCACACCATGCAACTTCCGCCCCCGAATCTGTCGACTTCCTGTACACAACATTGGGCATACCGTTCACGACGTCGTCTCCAGACTCTATGCCTGCCGTCCGCGAATCTGAGGGTAAACCTGGATTCATCGCTAAAGACGACTCGTTTCCAGTCTCTCTGGGTCCATCGGAGGTGACGTTGGGCCCACAGCAGACATTGACGTTGATGAAACGGCGTCAATATTGGCCCACGATATGGACGTCGAGAATGGAGATTGGCAGCCCGCAACCGATTTCGAATGGTCTGTGAGGACAGTCGACCTCTAAACATCTCAGCCCTGGTTCGTGTAGCCGGCAG